AATTGGTTTGCATCCAACGCCCATAAAAGGGTGTATTCTCTAAAAAACACAGTTTTTGTGTCTAAAATGTTATCATCGAAAATGGCATTTTTGAGATTGTTTCTTCCATAAAACAGCCAAATGGCGCGATGGAAACATGATTTTTTGTCACAATCATGCCATGAATGTATTCTTTACGGTGATCATCATTTGATTAGATTTTCATTAATATTTTACATAACATGCACATTTTATCAACACTTAGACAGCTTCTGAAAGGTACAACTTTGAGGAGCCATAAAAAACAAACCAAGTGACCTAAATCTTTATACTTTATAGATTTGGGACCACAACGGCATGGGCAATTTGAATCAGAGAAGGGGCCGTTTTGGAAACCGGCCCTTTGTATAGGTGTAACAGCAATACTTGAAGAAGTAATGCCAAATGTGTATGTCAATATTTCCCGGGCCGCTGTGTCAACACCAGAGACAATCGGGAAACGTCGGCACTTTCCGTAAACGAGAAAATACCTCGGGAGTAGAAGCGGAGTAATACAGACAAATTTTGCCCAAAAAGGCTTTCCGGTGTAAGGATCAACAAGTTAGTCGCCGGTGTACCAAAACTGTCATGGCGGAAGTTTGAAGCGTGTGTGCAAATTGCGAAGCGTTGAATCACTATTTCAACATGATTAAAAGGAGAAACAAATTTGAAACCCTCCGGAATTTACATTAACGGTGCGAAGTATACGCGAGGCTGTTCTAGAAACACACATTTTCATCAGCTGATGGTAGATCGTTGCCTACAGTCCACTTTAGACTCAGAGCAGTGTTCCAGTTTATCATATGATGCTCCCGCGACGTCAATACGATCTACTGGGTCAATGGCAAACAAATGATAAATCCTGTTCTTGTTTGTCATCCGATGTCGTTGATTCGGACTTAATTGTCAACGTTGTCCCCATTCAGCTTATCTGGTACCATTCTTTTTGACACTTATATCTCTAATGAGTTTGTCTGAAGATTATCCCCAAACAACAATACACAGATACAATGATGTGAACCTTGTTAAGTCTGGGCATTACCTATACTACGCACTTAATATTGTGGCAGTTTGCAAAAGTTATAACAGAGCTATATATAGGCATGTTGCACTGTACAATTAATTTGAGCAAGATAAGGCAATCTATTATTTGAAAATGTGAAAATCAATTGCATTTATTTGTTTGTGTAACGTCACTACCGACTCGGCTGTGGACATTTTTTCATTTGGTAGAGCGTAAGACTATAGGTCTCGGGTTATTGTATTACTAGTCAGCTTGTTTGAAATATCTGCTGCTGGTTTAAAGACGCGATGAAAATGTTCCACTATATGGACAATTTGCCTTGCAATTATGTTTTGTATACAAAACAGTTCAATGGAATGGTTAGGTTATTTCTGGTTTTGTAGGGTTTAACGCCCTATTAACTGCTAAGGTCATTTAAGGATGCCCCACCATGTGTATTATGAATGCGTGCATGTGTATATGTGTGCTCATATAGTTGAGACAAGGTATTTTGCCTCCTTGTGTTAGCGCAGATCTGATGCCGACTGTATAGTGCTATCTCACTGAAATACCATGTTTAAGGCACCGAGCATAGTATGTGGCCCAATCTGATGCCGACTTTATAGTGCTATCTGACTGAAATACCATGTTTAAGGCACCCAGCATAGCATGCGGCTAAGTCACATTATACCGACAATGGGTGAGCTAAGTGTTGCCATTACCCTAAACACTGAACGTTAGCAGGAAATAACAACTACCAATGCCTTTTTTAAGGACTTTGGTATGTCCCGGCCTGGGGACAGAGCCCATTGCATACCCCTGTTTGGCGAACGCCCAGGAGTTAAACTGCTACCTGGCAGCATTCCCTAGATGTGAATAGTCAGTGCCGACCAAATCATGGCTATCAATGCAATAAAACATGAGGAAATTAAAAGAAAAGAATATGTTAATGACTGCTTAAAGTATGTGTTTATCACAGCGCAAGCATACATGCATCCTTAAATTTTACAAGTACAGACACATGTAAATAGTTTCCCTGTTTCTGTGTATCTATGTCTGAAGTACTGGCAGAATTATTTTAAAATACATGATATGAAAATTTTAAAATCTATTTCCAACTGCTTAGGGACACTTTATTTTATTTTCCACATAACTGCTTATCTGATCAACTTCAGAATGTCTTTTGTTTAAGTTTTCAAAAGATTTTGTACAATTAATCCTCTTGTCATTGTTTCACAGAAAGAAAAATGTATAAAGATGGTTTGGAGGGGGATGTAATGAAGGGGAACAAGAGGCCCAAGGGCCTCAACAGTCACTTGGATTATATTATAGGTAGCTTAATTGCATTTTTTAGATGTAAAGAGGAATTCAGCATGTAAACAAAGTGAAATACAATACTTGTCATGTCACCAAAGGAAAAGAACTTTAAAAACTATTCAAATACATTATTTTGCTATTGAGAAATATAATATTTTTAGCCAATTTTCCTCTTTGGCCAACCCCTGGGGTAGGCCAGGACCTTATTATAATTACTTTTTGATACTTTTTGATTTCAATTTCATCATAATTATTCTAAACAAGAAATAAATCTTTTTTTGTTTTGTTTATAAAGGAAGTGGAGTTAATAAAGCATCTAACAAAACTTTAAAGTCTAAGTAAATTCCGTCCTTTTCAATATTAACATTTTACATGCTCTATTTTCTCAGTTTTAGTTTGTCATTTGTTACAATATGGACATTCAACTTAAACCTGCCCTATATAATTTTGAATTTAAGTTAATTCTATAGAGTGTTTTACATATCCTTTTCGCAGTCATATCCTATTTTCCCCGAAAAGCAGTGATTCATTCTACTGGTACTGGTATGTACAATTAACGAAATTTCAAAATTTGAATGGGTCAAATTGAACAAATGTATTGGGTTCATGACTAGCAGGTTAATAAAACAGTCTCTACTGTAACCATTGTAGCTTAGTATTTTTAGTCATCTGAAATGGCATTCTATAAATATTTTTCCATGGCTCACCACTAAATTGAAAACTAGTGTCCTACTTTTCATGCTACACGAAATTTGGGGACCATATATATAGTCATTGCTTGTCCATCAGTCCATCCATTCGAAATAGTCTGTGTCATAACTACTGACTTGCTAAAGATATAGCTATGGGATACTTTAGGTATTTATATAAGATGGAAAAGCAGTGATGCATTCCTCAACTGGGTCTTTACATCAAAGGTCAAGGCAACATTGAGGACAAAGGTGGAATTCACAATCGGGAAGCTGGATCCATCTGTTAACTGTACATGTTTAACTGATTTTCTGAATCTTGTACCTGCCTGTTCAAATTGTGTTATTTTTACTAAGTAATTCATACTGTAGAGTGTTTCCAGCTCAGGTTAAAAGGCATGTAAGGATAGTTCAAGTTAACATGTGGAGGATCCTGTTTATCTACCAATGTTTTGGATTTCCCACTATTGATAATTTTATTTAAGCAAATTCATCCAAGATTTAAAAAACATTTTTCCAGAACATATATCAAACAAACATTAAATTCAATTTTCTGTATTTACCTGGTAGCTAGAATATTCCCATCAATATATGTTTTAGAATCCTTTGCCATTTCCGTAAACTTACAAAGTCATCTTAAAGATTTAGTTAAGGACTGCACTACACTTGAAATATGTACATGTATTTTAACAGTTATATGCATACATGTAACTGTTATGTCTCTTTATTTTATTAACTTTTCCTCTATTATATTTCTTAAGAAAATATTTTGTCCGAGACTTGCAGTGAAAAGTAACTGTCTTATTGATATGAACTCTACCAAGTGAAATTGAATTTCGTGTTTTTCTAAGTTTTTATGAATGCGTGTCTTTAGCTAACTTATCTGTTTTGTGATTTAGTTTTGGTTCAAGATGGAGTCCACATGAAACTAAAAGCCAATATGTCATTTCAAATTTCCCCACTGGAAATTGAATTCAGAGCTGATAACTGCATGACTATATTATTAACTTCGATCAAAATCACTTGTGGTTTTGCTATGAACAATAACGTAAACCATGATGAGGCCACAGACTTAGATAGTCTAATTCCGTGATGAGGCTTAACAAAATATCTGTTTCCTTTCAGGTACCGAATAAAATCCTCGAGCTCTTTACCTGAAATATTTTGTAGCCAATATATGAAATTGTATTTATCTAAATCCATTTAGTAGATTACACTAATTCAGAATCTGTGTATTCCAAGAAAATACTGATACTTTAAAAATGTTTAAACTTAAATTTTCCTACAAATAACATACATTTATCTAAATTGTTCATGATAAGGATTTAAAATGTTTGTAAAAAAATAATATTTTGATAATTACCCTACCAGCAGTCAAAATATAATGGGATAGGAAGCATACCTTTTGGCCTGACTTATGAGTATTATGATCAGATTATAAGTGTTTGGAACTCTAACAATAAAGCGTTTAACAACACTACATGTATATAAAACCCAGAGTAAGAACTATAAAAATAGATGCAGTACTACCTCTGTTATAGCAAGGATCTAAGTCCGTGGTTATAGATATCATATATCACTATTGTTTATATACAATCTGTACATTCAGAATTTCAAACAGCTGTGTGATTACCAACATAACTCCATGAGCTAATTATTTATAATGCTGTCTAAATCAATACAATACATCAGATAAATACAGTATAAAAATTCAATAAACACACGCAGATCTCAAACTCATAAACGCTAATGATTTACTCAGAATCCATTCCTTTCACACCGAATCTAGATATCCACATGCTACATGTAGCTCATGGGGGGCAGCCATCTTTGTTTACAAAGTGGGTCTCCTCGCAATGTAGGTCCCGATATATATGTTGTAATGAGATAACAAATATGGCGGCGACCTAGTTACTCCCGAGATATTTTCTCGTTTACGGAAAGTGCCGACGGTTCCCGATTGCACCAGAGAAACAGCAGTACATGTAAAAGTTTGCGAGGGTCTAGGGATCGAGCCCGGAACCTCTGGTTTACTATTATAAGGCTTTAACGAACAATTTAAATGCGGATTCTCTCTATCCGAGTCAGTAAGAAGTGGCAAGTATTTCACAAGTGTTGCATACAGGTTCTATTGCAGAAGAACTTGGCTGTTTATGTGACTAGAGCTGTGACGGACGTACCGTTCTATCAACAGTCCATATCCAACCTGAATCATGATAGAGGTGGTGGAAACGGAAGACGACAGGAACCGAAAGGTAACAAATTGTAACAATTAGGTGTTTGGCCGGTACTCGTACTTGTCTTTTACATATTATCAACATACTGTCTTTAATATGTATTCTGAAGCGTCGACACGTAATTATATAGACGTCCTTTAAAACCGATCTTATTACAAAACTGTAGGTTTGTAAAGGCAACAAAATATGCATTCATCGTATAATAGGCTGACGCGCCCGATGGCTACGTCCTAGTATTAAATGTACATTTAGCTGTATAGTTTATTAGTTAGGTTCGAACCTCTCTATACAAATACACATGCATGTACCTTCTATGTGGCCTATTAACGCTTGCTATATTTACTTTGTTTTAATAAAAACTAAGTAAACGTATTGTAAACTTATAAATAATTTTTCCTTTACGTTAATCAAAAAGAAACTTGCTGTTATTTGTTTTATATTTAAATACCCATTTGTAAAATTGAGACAGGACATTTGGTGATATCATGAGGTTTTCAAAATGGCCCAAACTAAACATATTTGTTCGATTATATCGCTACTATTCTTTTAAAACAGTATGTTAAATGCCAGCTCCCTTTGATAAGGTCCATTATCAACCAATCTCTAATAAACACCCCACTGTAAAAGAAAGAAATACCGACTGGTGTATAACAAGGACAGTGCAGGTTAGGACAGGGACGAAAATAGGGATGACAAGGACAGTGCAGGAAGGGACAAGGACAGTACAGGATAGGACAGGGACGAAAATAGGGATGACGAGGACAGTGCAGGATAGGACAGGGATGCAAATAGGGATAATGACAAGGACAGGACAGGATAGGACAGGGACGCAAATAGGGATAATGACAAGGACAGTACAGGATAGGACAGGGGCGAAAATAGGGATGACAAGGACAGTACAGGATAGGACAGGGACGAAAATAGGGATAATGACAAGGCCAGTACAGGATAGGACAGGGACGAAAAAAGGGATGACAAGGACAGTGAAGGATAGGACAGGGACGGAAATGGGGATGACAAGGACAGTGCAGGAAGGGACAAGGACAGAACAGGAGAGGACAGGGACGCAAATACGGATAATGACAAGGACAGAACAGGATAGGACAGGGAAAAGGATACAAGGACAGTGCAGGATAGTACAGGGACGCAAATAGGGATGACAAGGCCAGTGCAGGATAGGACAGGGGCGCAAATAGGAATGATGACAAGCACAGCACACGAAGGGACAAGGGCAGTACAGGATAGGACAAGGGATAATGATAGGGCCAGGACAAGGACAGTACAGGTTAGGACAGGGACGAAAAAAGGGATGACAAGGACAGTGCAGGATAGGACAGGGACGCAAATAGGAATGATGACAAGGACAGCACACGAAGGGACAAGGACAGTACAAGATAGGACAGGGACGCAAATAGGGATAATGACAAGGACAGCACACGAAGGGACAAGGACAGTACAGCATAGGACAGGGACGCAAATAGGGCTAATGACAAGGACAGTACAGGATATGACAGGGACGAAAAAAGGGATGACAAGGACAGTACAGGATAGGACAGGGACGCAGATAGGGATAATGACAAGGACAGTACAGGTTAGGACAGGGACGAAAATAGGGATGAAAAGGACAGTGCAGGATAGGACAGGGATGCGAATAGGGATAATGACAAGGACAGTACAGGATAGGACAGGGACGAAAAAAGGGATGACAAGGACAGTGCAGGATAGGACATGGACGCAAATAGGGATAATGACAAGGACAGTACAGGATAGGACAGGGACGCAAAAAGGGATAATGACAAGGACAGGACAGGATAGGACAGGGACGGAAAAAGGGATGACAAGGACAGCACAGGAAGGGACAAGGACAGTACAGGAGAGGACAGGGACGAAAATAGGGATGACTAGGACAGTACAGGATAGGACAGAGACGCAAATAGGGATAATGACAAGGACTGCACACGAAGGGACAAGGACAGTACAGGATAGGACAGGGACGAAAATAGGGATAACGACAAGGACAGCACACGAAGGGACAAGGACAGGACAGGATAGGTCAGGGACGCAAATAGGGATGTGACAAGGACAGCACACGAAAGGACAAGGACAGTACAGAAGAGACAAGGAAAGTTTAGGATAGGACAGGGACAAGGATAAGGACAGAACACGGACAGTTCAGGATAGGGACGGGGATAAGGATAGGGAAAAAGATAGTACAGGGAATGACACGGACAGTACATGAAAGGACAGGGACAAGGATAAGGACAGGACAGGACAGGGACAGTACAGGATAGGACAGGAAAAAGGATAAGGACAGTAAAGGATAGGGACAATGACAATACAGGAAGAGACAGTACAGGATATAACAGGGACAAGGATAAGAACAGGACAAGGACAATGATAAGGACAGGACAGGGACAATGATAAGGACAGGACAAGGACAGTAAAAGAAGAGACAGGGACAAGGATACGGACATGACAAGGACAAATTAGGATAGGAAAAGGACAGAAATAAGGACAGGACAAGGGCAGTACAGGATAGGATAGGGACAAGGATACGGACAGGAAAAGGGCAGTCCGGAATATGACAGGGACAGAAATAAGAACAGGATAAGGGCAGTACAGGATAGAGCAGAGACAACGATAAGGACAGGACCAAGGCAGTACAGGATAGGATAGGGACAAGGATACAGACAATCAATGACAGTTCAGGTTAGGGACAACGATAAGGATAGGGACAAGGGCAGTACAGTGAGGGACAGGGACTGTACAGGATAAAACAGGGACAATGATAAGAACAGCAAAAGAAAAGATAGGACAAGAATAAGGATAGGGACAAGGACAGTACAGGACAAGACAGGAAGAAAGATAAGGAAAGGACAAGGACAATACATGATAGGACAGGACAATGGCATTTAAGGTTAGCACAGGGGCAAGGATAAGGACAGGACAATGACAGTTACTGATAGTACACGGACAAGGATAAGGACAGAAAAATGACAGACAAGGAAAGGGGAGGGACAAGGATAAGGATAGGGACAAGGACAGTATAGAATAGGACAGGTAAAATGATAGGGTCAGGACAAGGACAGTACAGGATAGAATAGGAATAGTACAAGATAGGACAGGGACAGTACATAATAGAACAGGGACAAGGAGAAGGACAGTACAAGTACAGACAAGGATAGGATAGGACAATGACAGTTAAGGATAGGACAGGGACAAGGATAAGGACAGTTCAATGACATCTAATAATACATGTAGTACATGGACAAGGATAAGGAAAGGGGCAGTACAGGATAGGACAAGGGATAATGATAGGGCCAGGACAAGGACAGTACAGGATAGGATAGGGATAGTACAGGATAGGACAGGGACAGTACAGAATAGAACAGGGACAAGGAGAAGGACAGTACAAGTACAGACAAGGATAGGATAGGACAATGACAGTTAAGGAAAGGACAGGGACAAGGATAAGGACAGTTCAATGGCATCTAATAATACATGTAGTACATGGACAAGGATGAGGAAAGGGACAGTACAGGATAGGACAAGGGATCAGGATAGAGACAATGATGAGGTCAGGACAAAGAGGATACAATATAGGACAAGGACAAGGATACATAAAGGACAATGATAGTTAAAGACGGGAACAAGAATAAGGACAGGACAAGGACAGTACAGGATAGGACAGGGACGAAAATAGGGATGACAAGGACAGCACACGGTGGGACAAGGACAGTACAGGATAGGACAGGGACGAAAATAGGGATGACAAGGACAGTACAGGATAGGACAGGGATGCAAATAGGGATAACGACAAGGACAGCACACGAAGTGACAAGGACAGGACAGGATAGGTCAGGGACGCAAATAGGGATGTGACAAGGACACCACACGAAAGGACAAGGACAGTACAGAAGAGACAAGGAATGTTTAGGATAGGACAGGGACAAGGATAAGGACAGAACACGGACAGTTCAGGATAGGGACGGGGATAAGGATAGGGAAAAAGACAGTACAGGAAATGACACGGACAGTACATGAAAGGACAGGGACAAGGATAAGGACAGGACAGGACAGGGACAGTACAGGAAAGGACAGGAAAAAGGATAAGGACAGTAAAGGATAGGGACAATGACAATACAGGAAGAGACAGTACAGGATATAACAGGGACAAGGATAAGGACAGGACAAGGACAATGATAAGAACAGGACAGGGACAATGATAAGGACAGGACAAGGACAGTAAAAGAAGAGACAGGGACAAGGATACGGACATGACAAGGACAGTTCAGGATAGGAAAGGGACAGAAATAAGGACAGGACAAGGGCAGTACAGGATAGGATAGGGACAAGGATACGGACAGGAAAAGGGTAGTCCGGAATATGACAGGGACAGAAATAAGAACAGGATAAGGGCAGTACAGGATAGAGCAGAGACAACGATAAGGACAGGACCAAGGCAGTACAGGATAGGATAGGGACAAGGATACAGACAATCAATGACAGTTCAGAATATGACAGGGACAGAAGTAAGAACAGGATAAGGGCAGTACAGGATAGAACAGCGACAAGGATAAAGACAGGACCAAGGCAGTACAGGATAGGATAGGGACAAGGATACAGACAATCAATGACAGTTCAGGTTAGGGACAACGATAAGGATATGGACAAGGACAGTACAGGGAGGGACAGGGACTGTACAGGATAAAACAGGGACAATGATAAGAACAGCACAAGAAAAGATAGGACAAGAATAAGGATAGGGACAAGGACAGTACAGGACAAGACAGGAAGAAAGATAAGGAAAGGACAAGGACAATACATGATAGGATAGGACAATGGCATTTAAGGTTAGCACAGGGACAAGGATAAGGACAGGACAATGACAGTTACTGATAGTACACGGACAAGGATAAGGACAGAACAATAACAGACAATGATAGGGCAGGGACAAGGATAAGGATAGGGACAAGGACAGTATAGGATAGGACAGGGAAAATGATAGGGTCAGGACAAGGACAGTACAGGACAGAATAGGGATAGTACAAGATAGGACAGGGACAGTACAGAATAGAACAGGGACAAGGAGAAGGACAGCACAAGTACAGACAAGGATAGGATAGGACAATGACAGTTAAGGATAGGACAGGGACAAGGATAAGGACAGGTCAATGACAGTTAATAATACATGTAGTACATGGACAAGGATGAGGAAAGGGACAGTACAGGATAGGACAAGGGATAATGATAGGGCCAGGACAAGGACAGTACAGGATAGGATAGGGGTAGTACAGGATAGGACAGGGACAAGGATAAGGATAGGGACAGTACAGGATAGGACAAGGGATAATGATAGGGCCAGGACAAGGACAGTACAGGATAGGATAGGGATAGTACAGGATAGGACAGGGACAGTACAGAATAGAACAGGGACAAGGAGAAGGACAGCACAAGGACAGGCAAGGACAGGATAGAGACAATGATGAGGTCAGGACAAAGAGGGTACAATATAGGACAAGGACAAGGATACATTAAGGACAATGATAGTTAAAGACGGGAACAAGAATAAGGACAGGACAAGGGCAGTTCAGAATATGACAGGGACAGAAATAAGAATTTGATAAGGGCAGTACAGGATAGAACAGAGACAAGGATAAGGACAGGACCAAGGCAGTACTTGATATGATAGTGACAAGTATACAGACAGACAATGACAGTTCAGGATAGGACAGGAACAAGGATACGGACAGGACAAGGTCAGTTCAGGATAGGGACAACGATGAGGACAGGGAGAAGGACAGAACAGGGAGGGACAGGGACTGTACAGGATAAAACAGGGACAAGGATAAGAACAGCACAAGAAAAGATAGGACAAGGATAAGGATAGGGACAAGGACAGTACAGGACAAGACAGGAAGAAGGATAAGGAAAGGACAAGGACAATCCATGATAGGACAGGACAATGGCATTTGAGGTTAGCACAGGGACAAGGATAAGGACAGGACAATGACAGTTACTGATAGTACACGGACAAGGATAAGGACAGAACAATGACAGACAAGGATAGGGCAGGGACAAGGATAAGGATAGGGACAAGGACAGTACAGGATAGGACAAGGAAAATGATAGGGTCAGGACAAGAACAGTACAGAATAGAACAGGGACAAGGAGAAGGACAGCGCAAGTACAGACAAGGATAGGATAGGACAATGACAGTTAAGGATAGGACAGGGACAAGGATAAGGACATGCGAATGACAAATAATAATACATGTAGTACATGGACAAGGATGAGGAAAGAACAAGGACAGACAAGGATAGGACAGGGACAAGGATAAGGATAGGGACAGTACAGGATAGGACAAGGGATAATGATAGGGCCATGACAAGGACAGTACAGGATAGGATAGGGATAGTACAGGATAGGACAGGATAGGACAGGGACAGTACAGAATAGAACAGGGACAAGGTGAAGGACAGCACAAGGAGACAAGGATAGGACAGAGACAATGATGAGGTCAGGACAAAGACAGTACAAGATAGGACAAGGACAAGGATGCATACAGGACAATGACAGTTAAAGACGGGAACAAGAATAAGGACAGGACAAGGACAGTACAGGATAGGATAGTGACAAGGATACAGACAGACAATGACAGTTCAGGATAGGAAAGGGACAAGGATACGGACAGGACAAGGTCAGTTCAGGATAGGGACAACGATGAGGATGGGGACAAGGACAGTACAGGGAGGAACAGGGACCCGTACAGGATAGAACAGTAACACGGATAAGTACAGGACAGGGGCAATATAGGATAGGATAGGGACAATGATACAAATAGGACTAGGATAGTTCAGAATATGTTTTTCGACGTCGTGGCGAACGTTATGCCGATAACTGCATGGTGGAGCGCGATAGGTTTGGTGCTGACAGCTTTATGGTGTGGGGTTAGGATCCTTAGTGGCCGCAAAACCCCCTTAGTCGTCACTGAGGGCAATTTGACAGCTCAACGGTACATTGACGTTATTCTACAACCTGTCGTCGTGCCGTTTGTCCGCTAGCATAACGTAATCTTTCAACAAGACAATGCTTGGTGCCATGTTGTAAGACGTGCAGAGGACTATCTTTGTCAAAACAATGTCGTCACGTTACCCTGGCCCCCATAAAGTCCCGATCTCTCGCCAATAGAGCACGTGTGGGGCAATCGAACGCGCCTAACTCCACCACATACTCTACCCGCTCTGCGTCAGGCGCTTCTGGACGAATGGCAGAACGTCCCTTTAGCACACAACTAACCGTTTTGTTAACTCTATGATTCGCAGAATTCGCGCGGGGATCATACTCGTTATTGAAGTCGGAAAATTCCAAAGGCCGGGGTCTCATCAATCTTGACTGTTGCCTTGCCAAAGTGTTTATCGCTAGTGCTTAATTTACTGAAATCAATAGAATAGATGTGTATCTTTAATGAGCCATGTTACTTAAACGGAACTTTCAAATAAAATATTAAAAATATTACCGAAAATTGGAGGTTGCGTATCTTTTGCGTGTCAGCATATTAAGTTGTACCCATCACCACAACTGATGTCAATCCTCGTCTCTCGTCCTCCCAAATTCAGCCTGTCTGACATTGACATTCAGCACGTTGTGCACTATGTTTGAAATCTGATTTTACCTTAGATGTAAAAAACACAACAGAGATAATTTTGATGAGGTTAACAAACTTTCTGGTGTTGTCATTAATCCAGTGGACAATACATAGTCAAATAGATAACGTTCTATTAAAATTGTATGTAGGTTTTAAGATAAATAACGTTGTGTAATACAATGTATAAAGCTATAAAGCTTTATGTATATATCTATATACAGCTTCGAGGTAGGTAGCGTACTATTATGCAAGTCGAATACTCAATGACGTCGTTAGAATTACCCAGTTAGTCAGATAACACAGTACAGCAATTGTTATTTTAAAAAACATAATAAAACATGATCTATTTGAAAAGGTACCGAGTTCGCGTTTGCCTTGCCTTTATTTGATGCGCACAAATCAATTCGTTGCTATTCCTTTCTTAACATTCAGCTTTTAGGGTAATAGCAACAACTGATTTACCCGTTGTCAGTATATTGTGACCAGGCTGAAGGCTTTGCTGGGGTGCCTTCGGCATGGTATTTCAGATCCGCGCAATCACAAGAAGGCAAATACACCAGCATATCCTGTTTCCACCACACGTACATGCATTCACGCATACACAACACACATAGAGGTACGTCCTCAAATGACCTTATCTGTTAAAACCAAACAAAACACAACCAACTTGTTGCTGAAGGCAACTCTCCAGTATCCCTCTAACGTTATATATTACCGTACCTCATACCAAAACTTGAGGAAAGCCTCTTTACTCTAATAATGTGTGTATTCTTTTTAAAAAAAAAGGTCGAACGGCGATAGAATCTATGGTTGTAAATGATTTTGAATTATAATGTATAAATGAAACGATTGATATCCAAGCCATGGTTGACAATAATTATATTTGTAGCAAGATTTTCCAGGAGATTGAAGGCATTCGTATGGGAACGGCCTCTTCCGACTTTTTATTGTTGAGCATATCAGAACCTGTAACAAAATTCTAGTTAACTTCCCGTTCAGAATTCAGATATATCGACAATGTGATGTCGTTAGATAGAACGAAATGTATTGATCATATCGATTGTATATACCCTCCAGAGCTTGAAATACAGATCCTTCTACTTTATTGGCTTCTTCCGATCTTTACCTAGAACGTGACAAACAGGGATGGCTTACTACTACGCTGTACAATTAGCAGGTCGGATTCGATTTTTTGATCGTTAACTTTCCCTTTCTTTGAGATTACAGTAAATACTTGTTGCAGTTGTTTTTGTATCCAAATCGAATATCATGAGATACTGTAGATGTCTGCTGCTGACGGACAAACTTAAACTGCAAGTTTTCTAAAGTCAATGACAACAATATATATATGTTATGGTTACCATGTGGACCTCTTTGGGAAATATGCTATTTCTTCGATTAATATGAAGATCGATATTTTGATTATAATCATTATAGTGCCCTGTAGATTTTTTGTTAGTTTCTCAGTGATATGAAAACGTGACATAACATCGGTTTTACCTACATTTACATGGCCGGCGTTGTCGATGAAGCACGATATGCTGATGCTTCCGGAACACCTGGTCTTCTCCTCGCTGAATCTTTTCATGGGTCCCCATATCAATCTTTATTTTGCCATATTCTGCCTTAGTATTTACGATTTCTAATTCGAATTAGGGTTTTGTTGTCAATTCGATATTCTCTTGTATTTTTCTCAGCAACAACATTAAAGCGGATATCGGTGACTAACTTCAACAAGCAGTATGAACCACATTGTAGCACAATATAATCTCTAAAAATAATATGTAAGAAAACATCTACGATAAATAGATCGAGTCGATGGAAATATTTACTAAAACAAATGTCAAATTTTTCTTTGGGTCAAATTTATTCCGAAACGCATCTTAGCCAGATATATCTTACAAGTGTAATAGAGAAATCTGAATAACTAAAGTAGTCAAACCGAGATATATTTGTGCTTAATCATGGATATCCTATTATAAATATAGATCATATCAAGAACGTTATCGGGGTATCTCGAGTCAAAATCTTAGTTTTTCACACCTCGTGTTTAGAATATTGTTATTATCAATATTTTGTGTACAGAACACACATTTCTCTAGCTGCGTACTCTTTTACCCCGATACACTTTATTATTGTAGTTATCTTTATGATGACAGGTTTTTTCTGTTTTGTTATTGTTACACATACAGGCCCAGCTCCTGGCTGCTATACGAGATAAACACAAGAAGAAGGCTTTGAGGTTACTGGATGAAGGGGCTGGTGTGGATTACCGGGATGAGGTTAGGATTTACATAGTCAATCATTTGCTCTAGTTTTATCGATTTTGAATTCAAATGATCTTTCTCTCAGTCGAGAATATATGTGGAGGAAAAACCCTTCATTTAGCAAAGTGTCTAAAGGAAAGCGTAACTGAAGTCAATTGAAGTTTCCTTATCGTAATATGTCTACAATACTTACTTCTAATGTCGTTTTCTAATGTGTAAACCAATGTTAATTAAGTTCAAGAATGCTTTTGAAAACGGTTATTGTTTCTGCGTTTCTGCTTTGAACATCCGGATTGTCGTATATCCGCTCCTCCATACATTTGTAGCTGTTGATAGGTTTGAGTTCTTACAGACAGGTTCGGGTTCTTACAGATAGATTCGGGTTCTTACAGATAGGTTCGCCTTCTTACAGACAATAAAACATGGTCAACACTGAGGATTGCCATCTTAGCTGTGTTTCTCAAAACGAGGATCCACAAACAGTCGGTACATGTAATATGAGGAATGTTAAACTAACGGAACGCAATCGTCAACAAGAGCCTTGTTGCCGTCCTTTCACCAAATCAATTTGCTATCGGTTGAAAATTGTCTGTTTAACACTTGAATAAATGCGTTCACATATTTCCGTATCATGTATACTGTCATGGTCTCGTGTTCGCCTACACGAACAAAGATAAATAATACAGCTCCAGTTAAACTGTGGTAAGTATGTTTAGCTGAAATCGCACAGGATGAAAAAAAACCCCATATTTTTTGTTATTAATAAACAAATTGCAAACCGAAGACGCATGAATCAGATATCGATTGAATCAGGTGCACACTAATCGGTAACACTATATATGTGATATCATTTACAAGATAATCTATTTGAAAGGAAATTTCGCATTTGTATCAGAATTACAGGAGACACTCCATTTTTATTAGCATTACCATCATGAAATGACAGATTCAACATTGAAATATTAGATTTAAGATTCATACCAACATGCATTAGACATTTTAACATGAGGTCATTTAAATCATAAGCGTTTACTTGAATCGCATCATGACAAAACATACTTTCATCTGTGTCTGAAAGGACTTAAATAGAAAGAAGTAACGAAAAATAGCCGTATCTACGCTCATACCATTAATCTCAGTTATTACGTACACAAAATATTAATATTGCTTGTTCAGTACAAACTTAGCGCACGACCATTCCGAGGGATGTTATATCAGAAAACAGTTACATAATCTCTGTATATTTAACAGACGGGGTCCTATCCTTTACACTACGCGGCCAGTGAAGGGTATGATGACGTCATTGAAGTGCTGCTGGAGAAAGGCGCGAAAGTAACGGATTGGAACAACGTAAGTGAGCTGTACCGGCTTATTAGTTTATAACGATGTAAATGAGATGTAATAGTTTAAGTGTTGGTTTTATGTGCCTATTTCAATGCAAGGGATGTGAACATGTTTATTGGTTTGACATATTTTGAGTGATGATCCAGCTAAGTTCAGTTTAATGACGCATGAGTGAAGTGTACTAGTTTAATGACGTATGAGTGAAGTGAAGTGTACTAGTTTAATGACGTATGAGTGAAGTGAAGGGTACTAGTTTAATGACGTTTGAGTGAAGTGTACTAGTTTATTGCTGTAGAATAAAGTTAATAGTTTGGATTAGTTTATAACAAGGTAACCAGGGACCAGTTAACAGTTAATTGTTTCATATTAGAGTTTGTGAGGCTCAGCAGTTTGTTTTATACCAGATCTCTATTAGTCTGTTCCTTTTAGTTGAGTAGCCTGCCCTTACCTCTTGTTTTTAGGAGATATATATTTATGTAAATGGTTTGTTTCTAAATATGTAAATATTAATGCTGTGAGAGTGTATTTCCTTTACCGTAGAACGGACAGACGGCCGTTCATCAGGCTGCCATGCACGGACATGCACGATCCATAGTGACCCTGGTCGCCGGAGGCGCCGTCGTAGGAACGCTTGACAACGTAAGTTCTGACGTGTTAATAGGTTAATCAATGTAACGAGTTGATAAGTCATACTCAAAAACTAAGTTGAAAGTAAGAACCTATATATCTAATTTGAATGTACCACTTCTCACTTACCACTGTAGCAATACTATTATAGTTGTAACACTAGTACTATACTATATATATACTACTAAATCTCCTACACAACTATAAATCTAATAATATATCCCTGACGTATCTACAGTAGTATTAACCCCAACAGAAAGAGCGGGATAAAGCATTTTTGATAAATTGCTTTCATCTTCTCATTGAAATTAATGAAGAAATTGAGTTCTTCAAGGTCGACACAGAATATAAATAACAAAGCGATCCCTTTAACATGTGAATCTAAAGATAAATTTGAAATAGGACTTCATTCGGATATTTTTTAGTTTAATATATAACTGCATGCTCGTCTCACTAACATATGTTTTCAACAGAAGGGCTACCTCGCTCTGGAGTATGCCATCAAAAACAAGCACGTGACCGCAGTGAAACTTTTGTGTAAGTTCGGATCAGAACCTTTACTACTGGACTGGGTAAGTGGAATTGCTGTTTCAATACTATGTTAGTTGAATCTTTCCTTTCTTGTACATGACTGGGCTAGTACTTGTTTACATGACAGCATAAAAGAGACAACAACCGCTACCACAAAACTTCTATATGTTCAGGGGTGAGATAGATAGCATGGGATTCTGCAGAGAATATTGATGCACCATTATTTTGTGAGGACAGCTTCCAGTGACAACACCTTTCACAGCCATGGCTGCTATTAAGATCATCTTCGAACCGTCAGTAAAGTACGTTTACCGTTGTTTCGAAAAGGATGAATGCAAAACTTGAGATTAAGCAAAAATCCACATGATCGGGAATCGAACACCGGTCGTCTTGGTGTGTATATGACTTCAAGGCACAGGCATGGCAAGAGGCAGAAAGGTGTGACCTTCGTAATTTTATTCCAGTGCTACGTATCAAATAAATTAACTAAATGTGTCCTGTATATTAGTATGTTAAATATATAACAATGGCTAATATGCGTAAACGGTTTCCCACCGAAACCTTTGTTTGTGTATTATGGTTGAAAATATAAGTCAGGTTTCGCAAATATTGAAAAAAATAGTTTTTAATAAGGCAAGCAACCTTCGTTAATTATTTTTCCAACCTTTTCTTACCCTCGTTATATATTCCATCATAATTCACATTGATTATTTCTTAAATAAACCGCACTTGTAATTTTGACAGTCCTGGATTGCTGTACCTAACATAAAAAAGAAGAAGGACTTATTTGAAATGGCTAAGACAGTACAGCACCAGAACAGACTGATCCCCGGTTACCGACACAAGTGAGTATATGACAATTCATAGATGTAGTTAGGTCATGTGACATACACACGTGGGTGTGATGCATAACAGAAACAAGACACGTGACGTGCACACGTGAGTGTAAGATATTACATAATCATATCAGGAAGATACATGCGATAAGCTATTATAGAAACAGATCACTTGTCATACAAGTAAGAGATTAAGATTAATATGAAAATAAACTACCTTATTTCCATGTACAGTGATCGGTGGAACATGGTATCAATTAATTACAATATTATCAGTACCCCCCTATTGCATAGAATATATTAAGACTATTGTAACTGTCCGATATACATGTATATGAGATATGATCTGTTGGGATATGTAATACATTTGCATCTCGTGAAAATCTTAAGATATTTTATGTGCAGAGTAATATGAAGATAAAGACTTAGGCTGGTTGATATCACTCTATCGGGTTCAAATAACAACATATTGACCTCGACATAAGTCCATAATAGAAAAAATATATAGTATATGTTAGAACTCATGCTAGCTGAGCTCTTTGTAGACATATCCAAACAACAACAAAACGTGTGTTTCACGAAAGTGGTGTGCTAAAAACATGGCCTATCTAACGTGCTGAGTCTAAGTGACGATCTAAATGTATTGTCAAATTATGCTAACTCTTAATTATCAATTGATGAATTATTCGTAGGGGGATCATATTTGACGTGGCAAATGTCACTCCTGAGAAGGGGCCAAAACTACGTCTAGAGAAGACGGGTGTCGAGGTTAAAGTGGTGGAGGGTCAGGAGCCCTACTACCTGTATCTGTGTCAGACAGAGGAAGCGTACGGCAGCCCACCACCCTTGGGACCAGATGAAGAAGTGTTTGGTCACCTACTTGAATGTCAGACCTGGGGACCCCGGGTCCAGACCATCACCCTGATAGTTACCGTTAACCGGGTTCTCCGGCAAAACGAGGAGATCGTCCTACGACCAGCGACACCAGAGGGCAGTGTCGACAAAGTCAAGGTTCAAGAGGTGGGAACTGTCGTGTTTTTGTTATAGATAGGATTTCAAACAAGCCTTATTTTGAACGTTTTCATAGAGCACGATTAACGTCAGTAGAAATTGGAACGAGTTTAGCGTATCTAGCTAAGTGTCGGCATTTGCCGTTGGCCCGTCCGTACATTAAACTGCGTTTAGCTTCATCTCTCTTTAACTAGACGTCCAACATTCATCTAACTTCATATTTGGATACATTAGGCGGTGTGTTGCACAAATAAAGATAATGTCATTATTTGTTCTTAATATAAGATCGTTGATAAGAGTTAATTTTATCAGTTTCGCGAGCCTCTAGTGAGCAAATATGAGTATTCTTAACGAGTATCATAAATAATGTGAAGGTCGACGAATGCCTGGTCATATGACGTATTTACCATCGGTTTTTCTAACTTAGTTTCCATTGTCTTCATCGCAAGCCCCTGCAGGTCGGGTATTGGAGAAAACAATACACCTGCTGTAACCCACTGCATGTATCGTAAGAGGCGACTAATGCGGGAACCCACGCAGAATTGGGGGATTGCTTTTGTGCACTCTTCTTGCGGGCACAAAATCGATCAAAATAAATCTGCTGCACCCATTGCAATATTTGGGATCTGTATCTTTCTTTCTACTTCTAACTTACTTTGATGTTTAACGTTCGCCCAGGTGAGGAAGTCAATGGGTTTTGCCCCTATGCCGGGACATACCAGTCCTTAAAAATGATAGTTGTTATTTCCTGCTAAACGATCAGCATTTCCTGGGGAAATGGCAACATCTGGTTCAACTGTTGTCAGTATAATGTGACCAGGCAAAATGCTGTGCTAGGTGCCTTCTGTATGGTATTTCAGTGAGATAGCACCATAATGTCGGCATCAGATCCGCGCTATTCCAAGCAGGCAAGCACACTCACTTACCCTGTCTCCGGCACACATACACACATGTATGCATGGTTCATTATCCAATTATTTCAATTGTGAAAATGGATTGTTTCAAGGTGAAATTTTATCGCCATTATTGTTTACATTATATGTTAATGATTGCGAAATGCAATTTTTAATTGACAACTGTCAGTCGATAGAAATTCAAACACTGAATTTGTTCCTTTTGATGTACGCAGACGATACGGTGATTTTTTTCCGAAACGCCAGAGTGTCTGCAAGATATGTTAAACTCTTTAGAATCGTACACAAAAAAATGGGATCTAACAGTCAATACGGATAAAACAAAAATTCTTGTGTTCCGAAATGAGGGTATTTTGAGAAATAATGAATGTTGGAAATACAATGGTCGTCAGCTAGAAATTGTAAATGAATTTAACTACCTAGGAATCTTACTAAATTACAATGGAACTTTTAGAAAAACACAACAAAAAATTGCAGATCAGGGAAGAAAGGCTTTGTTTTCAGTTATGAATGTATGTCGGAAAAAATATTTTAATATTGAAACTCAATTATCAGTTTTTGATACGTATGTAAATAGCATTCTAAGCTACGGTTCTGAAATATGGGGCTTTCATAAAGCCCCAGATATTGAAAAAAATCATACTTTGTTTTGTAAACGACTGCTTGGCGTAAGAAAAAATACTTGTAATGTTATGGTTTATTTAGAACTTGGGAGGTATCCATTGTCATTGGTAAGAAAGTTAAGAATTATTAAATATTGGATTAAGTTAAAAAGGACTAGTAATTGTATTTTGCAAGCATGTTATAAAGATATGCTAGAGAATAAGGATAAATGGGTTTTAAACATAAAAAATGATTTATTTAGAATTGGCCTTGGTTACATATGGGAAACAGAAATAAATGATGATATGTGTTATAATGTTATTAGAGAAAGACTTATTGATATATATAGACAAGAATGCAAAGAAACCGTAAGAACATTTTCAAAGGGATATATCTATACATATCTTTATAACCAGTTTGATTTACAGTGTTACTTAAGAAAACCATTATCTAGAGAATATTTGAAAGAGATTACAAAAAATAGGTTATCTGCTCATAATCTAAATATAGAAAAAGGTAGATATCAAAATATTGAGGGTAGTCTTAGAGTGTGTACTGTATGTAATTTAAATGACGTTGAAGATGAGTTTTATTTTATGTTGAAATGTCCATGTTATTCGGATTTGCGTGTTAAATTTTTGAAAAAGTACTTTGTAAAAAAACAAGTATGTTTAAAATGATAAATCTATTTAATGTAAATAACACAAAAGAACTTGTCAATTTGGCCAAATATATAAAAGCGGCAAATGTAAGAAGAAACCAGTTAACTTAATTTGTTACACTCTCCATACTGTTTGTACATTGCTGGTATTGTATAGTATGTATTGCATGTATTGTATTGTATTGTCTGTAGATATTGTAAATATATCTTACTTTTGAAACCGATGAGTCAAACGACCCAAGGTAATAAAGAACTTGAACTTGAGCATACACATCATAAATGGAGGCACACCCTTAAATGGCCTTAGATGTTAATAGGACGTTAAACAAAATAAAAACAAACCAAACCGTCATCTAAATCTAATCGTCAATATTTCACAACCAAATCACTCAAAGCATCAAGAGTCTAAATTAACCGGCAATTGGAGAAATAGTCTAACACATATTAAATTTATTTTCAGTGTTTGGTATTCTAATAAACGTATTTCTCAGCGATAGTTTCTCTTGAACTCGATCGCCATTTTACGCTTCATAGTAAGAAGTAGGTCATGTTCACCTTGATGAATACAATTCATAGGAAACCAGACAAGCAGCGTAGCTGAATGCTTTAACAGGTGTGTTTCATAAAAATAGTATATAGCGGCTTTGTTACATTACATATCATAGGATAAGAAAGCATATCGAGTGTAGGTCCCTGTACTGTTTTCACTTCTCTGACTTTCGTGAGAGTTGATGTCTATCCAAGCGACAGCAGTTATAATGCCTGGTTACTAACACTTTCTAGACATTATATGAACAAAAGCCACATAACGCTCGTAAATAACAAATTTCACCATATGATTTTTATCGATAACTCTCTACAATTAATCTTTAAAAAGTGGAAATTTTCATCAAAGTTCCCTTTTTACTTTTTTCAATCGGGTTTAAAATAATGTCATTGCACTGTTGTTACACCGCACTAAGTTTTTTTTGTTCATCGAGAATGTGTGATGGTGTCGTAGTGAGGTCATATATTAGGTACACATTAGGATAAGAACAGGGCTATACAGACTGACATTCTCATAGACATTAGTTTAGTTTTTCTATCGAGTTATATTGATGTACTATCTTAATATTACTAGGTCACAACAGTTACAATAACTGTCCCTCTCCAACCCACTGGGATCACGAATTTCACCATGGCAAGCAGGGAGAAGAAACAGATTTTTAAGATTTCCAAAGAGGCAGTCGTGCTGAAACCGGAAAGTGAACCGGAAGCGGAAATCGACATCCCCGCCGGTACATTCGACTCTGGTGACCTCGTAGTCAAAGTAAGTGAATACATATGTAGTGAACTATGTTTTCATTATAGTGATTTATCACATAATCGGCCTGTTACTCGGTGAATTCGCCCGTGTAATATTTTTACATGTCACTAGTGTGATATACCCTGGAGCGTGTTTCATTGGCTATGCCAGTAAGAAATCGATTGTAACGTCATACTATGGGCAATGACGTGACGTCATAAATTGTGAATGGCGCAACAAAATGGCTGTCTTTGTTTGATTAAGCCATCTACATTTTGGCTTTAAAACCTGTCAAAATGTAAACTTTCTGAGTTATGTGATAAATTTGTTGTCATTTCATATGAGCTTTCATGAAACTCGTCTCGAAGTTGTAATTTTTGCTCGCCAGGGCTCGCAAAAATAAAAACTTCCAAAACTCGTCTCATAATATCTCATATGAAATGAAAATTCATTTAAGATCCTATATATATTACTTTCATTTCTGTAACGATAGAAGTATTGATGTCTCCATCAATTAAAACGGAACACTACCTGCTGACGTTGACGAATACATAAGCATCCGACTGGGCTCAAAGTAACAACTGAAAGATTGTGGAGTGAACACTCGACATCAGGGCTACTTGAGGAAGCATGTGTTTGTTTATTACAAACGGATGTATGAATGAATTCCAAGTACTGATTAAACAGCGATATTGATTGATATTAATCATTCGATTTGAAAAAAATGAGAAGAAAAAATAAGAGAGAACAACTTAAATGAAAAGACAAGTGTTCTTCTACTTAACTCAATTTACACTTGTACATGCAAACATACAATAAACCCACCAATACAGTGAATTATCATGTCAAAAAATAGAATAGGTCTCTCTGGATATTTGATGTCTCTATAATTTTGATCGAGATAGAATTCGTAAAACATACGTGCTAAGATGTCGCTCTGAAGTGTCAAAGTACCATAATAACAAAATACCAAAATATAACAACCAGGGAATTACAAATATGGGTCTAAGATCATAGCATAAGGGAGCCACTTCGGTAAAAGTTTCAAAAAAGGTACATACATCATGCTTACCATGTACCACAGAGAACATAAAGTGAACAGATACTTTGTACCTAGGAAACGTATCAAATTTAGTATTACACTGACTCGGGATAAACTGACTGGTAGGATTGAAACGGTGGAAAATATGTACCAAAGTGTTGCTATCAAGTCTCATGTGTGGAATATAGGATTAGGTTAGAGATTGACTAAAACCACACCGTGAAATTGTAACACCGTGGAATTCAAGTATATTACAGCAGAGTAAAAAGATTACCCTCTAGTGGACACACGACGTTAAATAAATGACGCAGCTATGTTTGGAGCTGAACAAATATATACTTAAATAATTTGATGACCTACTTAGATCAATGACGGCTGATTAGTCTGAAAGATTACCTCTAAACTCTAGATTTTCGTTCCATTTCCGTCGACGTTATGAATACAAATAATGTTTCTGTCAAACTGACCGCCTTCAGTACTTCATCGTTTGCATTGCACACAGAGTTGAAGATGTCCCTAACGATACCCATTAGATCAAATCGAGAAAAACATCAGCGTTTTGATAGTTTGTGACATATTATGGTTAACATTTATTTTTCCTTCTTCTTTTGTTTTCGACGGTCATTGGGAAATGATAAGGCTTATATATTGGTATGTGTAAGCGATTCCTCACTCTTCACCATTTGAGAAGAAGTTATTTTGGTTTGTTTCTTTATATAGGAATTTGTTTTTTCAGCGTGTGGATCAATTTATCATATTTGATATGTAACTTTACATATTTGCATAACACAATGATATTTCGTTCTGTGTAGTATTGTCAATACTCTAACTCAATGTTCTAGTTTGTGGACACGACAAAGGCCATGCCTGAACTTGAGCAAAATAACCAGGATCCGGGCGAGTCCGGAGATGACCCAGTCCTGCTGACAAACATCCTTGACATCTGCACTACTGACGGCCAGCAGCCCCAAAAGGACATTCAGATGATGTTGCCAGTCAATGTTAAAAACAAATCGAAAGACGTTGTTGTGCTGGTGACCTCGAACCCGGACCCAAACCTAGAGAAATGGGATTGGGAGGTCATTCCAGCAGAAATAAATGGCGCTGGCAAAGCTGTGTTTACAGTTAAACACTTTTCCTCGTAAGTAGATAACACTTTATATTCAGAGAAATGATGATTATTTTTCGAGTGGTAACATCTTTCGTTACCTTAGATAAGGTGCGCTGTCTCAAAGTTTTTAACTTTTACATGCGTAACAAGCCAACATACTTGCTGACCTGGTCGTGGTGTTGGTGTACATTTATGCGTTAGGTAGTTTATTGTGTTGGTGAAACTATGTTACATGGGTTCTTTGAAAGTACAGGTACTTTCTGTAGGAACTCCCACATCAGTTGGACAGGTAAGTATAGGTAATTTCTGTAGGGACTCCCTCATCAGTTGGACAGGTAAGTACAGGTACTTTCTGTAGGGGCTCCCACATCAGTTGGACAGGTAAATATAGGTACTTTCTGTAGGAACTCCCACATCAGTTGGACAGGTAAGTATAGGTAATTTCTGTAGGTTCTCCAACATCAGTTGGACAGGTAAGTATAGGTACTTTCTGTAGGGACTCCCACATCAGTTGGACAGGTAAGTATAGATAATTTCTGTAGGGACTCCCACATCAGTTGGATAGGTAAGTATAGGTACTTTCTGTAGGGACTCCCACATCAGTTTGACAGGTAAGTATAGGTAATTTCTGTAGGGACTCCCACATCAGTTGGACAGGTAAGTATAGGTAATTTCTGTAGGGACTCCCTCATCAGCTGGACAGGTAAGTATAGGTAATTTCTGTAGGTTCTCCCACATCAGTTGGACAGGTAAGTATAGGTAATTTCTGTAGGGACTCCCACTTTAGAAGTTCTTGAATTAAAATCGCCCACAAGCATGATTTTTTTTTATTTTCATGTGATAACATAATCAACTCATCCCCAATTAGGGACTCCCACATCAATTGGACAGGTAATGTAGGCGATTTCTGTAGGGACTCCCACATCAGTTGGACAGGTAAGTATAGGTAATTTCTGTAGGATTTCAGATATTATTTCCAACACTCAGACACATGGAAATGTGTAACATGAGGTACATGTACATGAATTCATATATTAAATTTTGACAGGATGGACAGGTGCATGCATGTATACAAGCAAAATTGTATTGACACTCAGACACATATTATGTGTTACATGAGGAAATAAAGTTGCATATATGAAAAATGAAGTACAATATATATATTTGTATACACATGTATAACTGAGAGAATGGACAGTTAAATTTAGAATCGGTACGGTATAGTAACATGATATGACATACAATGGAAAATACATAGCAAAAAGAAAAAAGAAAAAAACATACGTATAATTCACAAGTTATTTAACTATTAACAGTTATACATATGCATCATTCACAAAAGAGGAGCCATTTTCGTTAGGAAAATAGATAAACCTGTCAGAACTCGTTGATTGCATAATGATAAAAGACCTTTAAACTTATAAATATTTGGGTTTGTGCAATAATAACGAGGAATATATTTGTAACGTAAGGTGGATATAGTTATATTATTACATTCAAATAGATAATGAAATTCATCTCCGACACTTTCCGCGCACAAATTACATAGTCGATTATCTCGGGGTATGTTATACCATCTACCTGTTTCAATTGGAAACTTCAAATTCGAAGTGCGCAGTTTTGTTATTGGTGTTCTTATATGTTCTGGCAGATTTAAAAAATATTTTTCTAGACCAAATTCCGTTTTAAATAGAGTGTAGAACTGCCCACGAGATGAGCTAGTAATGTCATCGAACCATTGCTGTACAAAGTGATCGTGAAGCCGTTGTTTTAAAATGCATTTGTAAAATCCATCAGGCATCTGTAATTTATTATCAAATATGTAAGAAAATCCCGTTTCATTGAAAATACCTTTTATATAGTTAATCAATTTGAACTGAAGAGTATCATCGTTTTTGCATATGTAAAGCCAGTCGTAGAAATATGCTGCTGAGTTTGTTTTCATTACTAATTATTCTATTCCAAAAACCTAACATTCTTAGTTTAACATTTATTTCCAATGGCACACGACCTAGCTCGCCATAAATCATAAAATTAGGCGTTGTGGATCTCATTTTAAGAATTCTTTTACAAAACTTGAGATGAATCTGTTCGATTATTTTCAGGTTTACGAATCCCCATACATCCGATCGGGCCCATCCATACAATAGAATCGGTTCCACTAAAGAATCAAATAGTTTTAATTGTAAATCTATAGGAAGAGAAAGGTTCCTGAATTTTTTGTATATAGCAAATATTGACTTTTGGGCCTGGTTGATCAATCTGCGTTTTGTGTTTACAAAACTGCCATTATAATTAAATGTTATTCCTAAGTAAGTAAAATTATCTACAATTTCTAAAATTTCATTTTGTAATACAAATACAGTCATGTCGTTGTTTACTTTTTCCTCTTGCGAAAAACCATGACTTTTGTTTTATTTACATTTATATTAAGCTTCCAAATCTTACAATACTGCTGGAATACATTCAAAGCACTCTGCAGTCCCTCTGGACTTTCTGAAAATAGGACACTGTCATCAGCGTATAGGAGTACAAAATTTTCTACAAAAATATGTAGTTCATTATACAGCTTATCCCGTACATTTTCGAGTGGAACACAATTTAAAGAAGCAAAATAACTTTCAATGTCATTAAGAAATATTGAAAAAAGAAAGGGGGATAAATTTTCCCCTTGTCTAACCCCGATCAAGCAGGGGAACAAATCTGACGTTTTCGAGTTGAATTAAACACAGGATTTAATATTAGTATACATGTTATAGATAACTTCGAAACATTTCCCGTTTATATTGCTGCTATGTAATTTTTGCCACAGACCTGCTCTCCAGATATCAAATGCCTTTTTAAAATCGATAAAGGTACAGTATAGCTTTTTGCCACTTGAAAGATATATAGAAATGAGTATATGCATAATAAAAACGTTGTCTGTAGTTGAATGACCTTTTCTGAACCCTGCCTGACTTCGAGATATTAAATCAATTTGTTTTTCATATTCATTAAGACGGGTATTGATGATTGAAGTAAATAGTTTACCAAGACAACTAATTAAAGTGATAGCTCTATAATTATCAGGGTCTTCTGGACTTCCCTTATTTTTGTATATTGGTTTGATAATGCCGACACTCCAACTTTCCGGAATAATTCCCGTGTCTAATATTATATTGAACAATTTACAATAGACTGTGGTCATTTCCGGTGGGGAATTTTTCAGATATTCATTTAAAACGCGGTCCGGGCCGGACGCTTTATTATTTTTTAATGATTTAATAGCTTTTTGTATTTCTGATTCAGTAATTGGTACATTCAATGTATTGTTGACGTCATCATCATTATCAAAACTGTCGTTATCAACCTCGTCATTATTACTGTCCTCTTCGAGTGAATTAAGTTTCTTAAAATAGTCATATAGGTCGTCAATAGGTATGTCTGGTGTAGTATTTTTATTTTGTGAAAATTTATTAAGTGTTTTCCAGAATGCTTTAGGGTCTCGTTTGGAATTCTCTCTTAATTCTTTTGTGCATTTCTCTTGATATTTTTTGTAATTTTTCCTTAGTTGTTTTCTGTATTCTCTCCCTTTTTTATTCATCGTGTGCTTGGTTTCCGTTAACTTGTTAAATTTATATCTAATTTTATATTTATTAAAGGCGTTTCTAGCAAGTTTACAATCGTGGTTAAACCATGGCTTATTTACATTTTTGTACTTATTTTTACGACGGTGCGACACACCTATTGTATTAGTGGCGCTATTTGTTAACACAGTGGATATGTCGGTCACTAGACCATTTACCTGTTCGTTGGTAATAGTATCACTAAGTAAAACATTATTTAGATTTATATTAATACTATGTAAGTTGTTTTTCACTTCTTGTGAAAAAATGCCGATTTCATGTAATCCCATCTGATATAGTCTCCGTCTGAAAGACTTTCTTTTTCGTGAATATTTTTTTTCAACGGAAACATAAACGAGAAATTTATTAGATTATGCACGTCTGAAAAGAGTGGGTTAAAATCATTAATTTCAAAATATGTTATTAACGGGAAAAAATCAGCAGTCAATATAAGGTAATCGACAACACTAGAATCTTTACAGGTAGTTCTCCCTATATACTTATCACAAGAAACTCGTCCATTTGCAATAAATAAAGAGCATCGTTTGCACATTTCGATTAGTTTTGACCCATAGTTATTAATACGTCCTTTATCTTGGGTACATTTTGAGAGGGGGATATCATGTTGAACTAATCTCTGGAAAGAAAACATATTGTCGATGATCAAATTGTTTTCAGCAATGTCTAAAATGTCATATAAATTTTCATCAGGTTCAATATAATCTACAACTTTAGAAGTTCTTGAATTAAAATCGCCCACAAGCATGATTTTTTTTATTTTCATGTGATAACATAATCAACTCATCCTCAATTAGGGACTCCCACATCAGTTGGACAGGTAAGTATAGGTAATTTCTGTAGGGACTCCCACATCAGTTTGACAGGTAAGTATAGGTAATTTCTGTAGGAACTCCCACATCAGTTGGACAGGTAAGTATAGGTAATTTCTGTAGGAACTCCCAGATCAGTTGGACAGGTAAGGATAGGTAATTTCTGTAGGGACTCCCACATCAGTTGGACAGGTAAGTTTAGGTAATTTCTGTAGGGACTTCCACATCTGTTACCAAAAAGAGATATGATGGAAGGTGAGCTTGCGGTTCCTCCTATCAGCTCAAGTATATGAATAATTCGGTTGACAAAATATTTTCTCGAGCTTAATTATTGTAACATACTAGTTTTAAGGTTAGCCATGGAATTCCAACAAACGTATCAGAGCGAGCTGGAAACTGCTTTATACATTTGGGTCAAAAAACATTTTGTTTATGTCAAGTTGGAGGTTTGGTCTACAGCTGGTTGATCCTGTTGAGGCGCTGCTAATTTTCTATTTATTACATTTTAAAGCAGTAAACATAAAACACGTAATGGATTAAAAAAAGGGCGGAATCAGAAACGCCATTTTCTAAGGACGTCACGCTTGACAGCAAGGCTGCGCGCAATTTTAATGAGATACTCAATGCAATTTCGACGTTGTATGCTATTTTCTGGTATGATTGCTTATACACATGTTATAAATTGTATATTTATGTAAATACTTAAGTATGTGTACCTAACATTTACCATAACAACCACTTATTCTACCATCGCTTCATTTGAATCTGATCAAAAAATATTTGCCTTTGAATGCAGCGAATAGAAGTTATGGTTAAGATTAGAATAGTCAATACCTAAAAGTGATATTTTCACACTGTGAAAGATATCAATTTTATCAAGTTGATAGAATCCGATGTTTCACTGGCAGAAATGTAATAAATTGATGTTATTATATAGTCTACATTAGACACATATAGTCTTTGTTAAACACATATCCCGTTTATGCATTTTTCTCCAGTATCCCTTTTTATTCCCAATACCTGTTTGGTGAGGAAAATGGATACATTTGATATAATGTTCCATCAACCTTTGAATAAGTAAACAATCTAAGGTTAATATTATCTATACATGTGTGGTAGTTATCTTCACATTTCTCCCTTATTTTCTTCTCCAGTTCTCCTTCCTTTCTTCCTTCCATTCCTTTTAACTTCTTTCCTATGATAAATAAATAATTTTTTAGTTTTATCATGTACACTTGTAATTTGTATAATTATATGGTAAATAATATAGGTCTAAACCTATTCCGAGATGATATCTGCACCAAGTGTCAAGCATGCCAGTATCGCATATTCTGTGAATTTATTTTTTATTAGAAAATACTATTAATTTATCCAAATCTCCAATAAATGAATGAATAAATAAAATAAAAAAATTGAACTGTATTCTATTCAGAATTATACACATGTCTGTAACAGGATTGGTGTCAAATATTCCGAAAGCGCGTAATTTGATTTACTTGCAGCCACGATCAGAATATAATATTTTTGTCTGCAATTTTGCTCCACATTTTAGAGCTATATTTCTTAACAGTATTAAGTTTAATGTTCGATTGTGACATCTACTCTGCAGAACGGTATATCATCTGTAAATATTCCGTAGAATGTTACTAGGGGTTTACAGAATGCCCTGATAATAACAAAACCTACTTTTGATACATTACCATTGAACCTGCGGTCCCCGAATATATATATATATATGTGAATTGTTATCTACTGTTTATATCATAATTCCAGAAATATCGTGATTTCAAGGCCTCGATTTGATGCCGATCCTGAAGGTGTGCAGGATTTAAGTAGAAATGCCCATCTGAGAAACCGCAAAGTTGAGTTCTTAGTCGCTTTGAAAAAACCGGAAGTGGACGAAACTAAAACGGATATGATTATAACATGTGGAACAAAACGTCAAATTAGTTCGGCGAAGAGGAAATATTATGAGAGCTACAAGTGCTTCATCGCAGGACAAAACACCGATTTACCGATGGTTCCCGAAGGTCAGACCTTTAAGGTAAGAAATATTCTAAGAGCTGCACGTGATTGAAATAGAGATCAGTCACTGATTTAGCTATGGTTTCCGAGGGACAGAGAAACTCGATAAAATATATGATAACAGGAAGACTGGATTTATTGTTTGACAAAACACTGTTTAACCAATAGTTCTCACGGGACAGAAGTATACGGTATAAATAGGATTACAACCACTCTGAATTAAATGATGAACAAAACAATGCTTTGACAAGGGGGACCAAGAGGCAAAAGTTTACGGTAAAAACACGATAGCAAGCACAAAGATTAATTGTGGAACAAGACACTGCTTTACTATTATACCAATAGTTCTCGAGGGGTATAGGTTTACGTTGAAAGTATGACAACAAGCATATGTAATTTATTGTGGTACTAAACAATACTTTACTAATGGCTCCAGAAGGGCAGAGGTAACTTGAGAAATGGGATAATAGCTACACATGGTTCGGTATAGAGAATGTCTGCCGATATGTTTCGAATCATTTGCATTTCATTAACTTACCCCAAAGCTCAAACGGCAAACAGTTTCTGCAACTTTGTTTTGATAAACTAGACCACTTGGACACAATAGTAAAATGTACCACGTGTACTGTATACTGACACTGTAACGCACTATGGTTCCAATGCATGATCGTGCACTATTACTTATCTACATTGGGGTTATCTTATACTGTATGTCTGTTTTTCATACATTGTATTTGTTGTTTTAGTTATAGTGTATTACATTTGTATTTATTTTATACTGTGTTTCTACTGTACATACAGTGTATTTCTGATGTACATACAATGTATTTATAATGTACATACACTGTAATTTACTGTACATACAACGTTATTTACTGTACATACACTGAAGTTAACTGTACTTATACTGTAATTCTATTGTACATTTAATGCTTCTACTGTATTTCTACTGTACATACTGTATTTCAACTGTATTTCAGCTGTATATACACTTTATTTCTACTCTACATACACTGTATGTCTACTGTACATACACTGTAATTTACTTTACAAACCTTGTAACTAACTGTTCATATACTGTATATCTACTGTATTTTTACTGTACATACACTGTATCTCTACTTAATATACAATGTATTTCTACTTAATATACAATGTATTTCTACTGTACATATACTGTATTTCTACTGAACATACACTGTGTTTCTACTGTACATACAGTGTATTTCTACTGAACATACACTGTATTTCTACTGAACATACACTGTGTTTCTACTGAACATACACTGTATTTCTACCGAACATACACTGTATGTCTACTGTACATACACTGTATTTCTACTGTACATACACTGTATGTCTACTGTACATACACTGTATTTCTACTGTACATACAGTGTATTTGTACTGTACATACACTGTATTTCTACTGAACATACACTGTGTTTCTACTGTAGATACACTTTATTTCTACTGAACATACAGTGTATTTGTACTGTACATACGCTGTATGTCTCCTGTGCATACATTGTCTTTCTACTGAACATACACAGTGTTTCTACTGAACATACACTGTATTTCTACTGTACATTCACTGTATTTCTACTGAACATACACTGTATTTCTTCTGAACATACACTGTATTTCTACTGAACATACATTGTGTTTCTACTGTACATACACTGTATGTCTGCTGTACATACAGTGTATTTCTACTGTACATACACTGTATTTCTATTGAACATACAGTGTATTTGTACTGTACATACGCTGTATGTCTCCTGTGCATACATTGTCTTTCTACTGAACATACACAGTGTTTCTACTGAACATACACTGTATTTCTACTGAACATACACTGTATGTCTACTGAACATACATCGTGTTTCTACTGAACATACACTGTATTTCTACCGAACATACACTGTATGTCTACTGTACATACATTGTATTTCTACTGTACATACACTGTATGTCTACTGAACATACACTGTATTTCTACTGTACATTCACTGTATTTCTACTGAACATACACTGTATTTCTTCTGAACATACACTGTATTTCTACTGAACATACATTGTAATTCTACTGAACATACACTGTATTTCTACTGTACATTCACTGCATTTCTACTGAACATACACTGTATTTCTACTGAACATACACTGTATGTCTACTGAACATTCACTGTGTTTCTACTGAACATACACTGTATGTCTACTGTATATACATTGTATATCTACTGTACATACACTGTATTTCTACTGAATATACACTGTATTTCTACTGAACATACATTGTGTTTCTACTGTACATACACTGTATGTCTACTGTACATACAATGTATTTCTGTTGAACATACATTGTGTTTCTACTGAACATACATTGTATTTCTACTGAACATACACTGTGTTTCTACTGAACATACACTGTATTTCTACTGAACATACATTGTGTTTCTACTGTACATACACTGTATGTCTACTGAACATACATGTATTTCTACTGTACATACACTGTATTTCTACTGAACATTCACTGTGTTTCTACTGTACATACAGTGTATTTCTACTGAACATACACTGTATTTCTACTGTACATACACTGTATGTCTACTGTACATACAATGTATTTCTGTTGAACATACATTGTGTTTCTACTGAACATACATTGTGTTTCTACTGTACATACACTGTATGTCTACTGAACATACACTGTATGTCTACTGTATATACATTGTATTTCTACTGTACATACACTGTATTTCTACTGAACATACACTGTATGTCTACTGTATATACATTGTATTTCTACTGTACATACACTGTATTTCTACTGAACATACACTGTATTTCTACTGAACATACACTGTATTTCTACTGTACATTCACTGTATTTCTACTGAACATACACTGTATTTATACTGTACATATATTTTAATTTACTGTACATACAATGTAATGATACTGTAAGGGTGAGTATGACGGAGTCACATAAACCATATGCTGTGAATATACTCCCCTTGTACATGTACTGTTGTTTTATGATACTTAAAACTAACATCTATGATTCATATACAAAACAAATACAGAAAGGATAAGTATTACTCTCCAAACACACCCACACACCCTCCGACACACACACATTATCACACACAACAACACATAAACACACATCCAAACACATGAAAGAATGGTGGTGCAATATTTCGGCATACCGTTTCTATTACCAAAATAAATTGTACGTTCATGTACTTGTTTCAGATTGTAATTCGTGGCAACTTAAAAGAAGGAAGTGACGACGAGAATATGAAGCTAATATTTAAGAGCGGCGATCAAGAAAGTTCCCGTGCCCTGGAAATCGTCAGTACCTGTCCCGACCAACTGCAACTGTCAGGGGAGGTGGTAATAATCAAGAAAACTAAGACTCTTACAGTTGAGCAAGTCGATGCGGGTTGTTTCGATTTTTGTTGTAGTAGATGTAGAAGAAGTACAAAAGTGGAGGTCAAGGAGCCCAACACCTTACCACAACCCATGTGTATAATACCGTTCAACATTACACTGACCAGGCGGGGGGAGTTCCAATTAATACCGTAAAACACCTCCTATACACTGGCCAGGCGCGCCGAGTTCCAATAAATACCGTAATACACTACCTATACACTGACCAGGCGGAGTGAGTTCCAATTAATACCGTAATACACCTCCTATACACTGGCCAGGCGGGCCGAGTTCCAATAAATACCGTAATACACTACCTATACGCTGACCAAGCGGGGTGAGTTTCAATCAATACCGTAAAACACTACCTATACACTGACCAGGCGATTGATTGATTGATTGATAGGTTTTACGTCCGCTTCACTACC